GGGAGGGGGAGGGGGAGGGGGGAGCGCAGTAAAACAGCTACTCGGGATAATGTTTACTCGATCGTCGACACGAGCGTCACGGCTGAGACGCGATATTGTCCGAGTTGGGGAAGCTCAGGGGAGTGCGAGCCCCCATCTTCGGGGCCCGGTGGATCGCCAACTCACCAAGCGTCCGGTCGGTCCGCACCGCTCAGTAGTCCCAGTCGAAGTTCGAGGCTCGCGCCTCTAGTCCCGGAGCCACGGTCCCGGCTCTAAGCGAAGCCCTCGTGGGGTGTCCTCGGCGTCCACAGGTGCAGCACGTTGCCGCGCTGGTGCGCGCGCCTCACCCGGATAATCGATAGGAATATTCGGGCCCTATGGCCTCGCTCGAGCTCCTGCCGGCCCGTCCGGGGCCCGAGGACTGGGGCGAGTCACTGGGGCAAGCCCCGCATCCCCGCGCCTCGGACTCCCGCGAGGCACACACGCGAACGTCACAGGACGAGGCACGCACCGGGAGGCTCCGCCCGCGACGCGACACTCGCTCGTCCTGGGGACGCGCGGTCCGCGAGAGATCGACCCTCCCCGCGCCAACGCCGTACCCGGCTGCGCCTGCGCCAGCCCCACCGCCACTCTGGGCCAAGGCCGTAGCGCCAGATGGCTCCAAACGGGGGCTCCAAACGGGGGCTCCAAACGGGGCTCACTTTCACCCAGACGCAAATATACGACGGCCGGCGTCGCACCCCCGCCACCGATTAAACACTCGCCTTTGCTCACTCACTCACTCTCTCTCTCTCTCTCTCTCTCTCTCTCTCTCTCTCTATCTCCATCTCTATCTCTCTCTATCTATCTATCTATCTATCTATTTATCTATCTACCCTCGACGATGATGCCACCGCCACGGCCAACGTTACAAATGTCAATCCATAGACGCGAAGGATAATAATAAGATTTATCAAGGATATCAAGTTGGGCCGTTAAAGTCGCCGACGAGCCACGAAACGCAGCTTCATTATTTTCATCTTAAGCCCGAGCAACGTGAACTATATGACACGCTCCTTTCATATCCTATCGCTACTGAAGCTCTCTATGCACCTGTCAATTGCTTAGAGAATGGTCAGGGAGAAGGTATGATTGTGGGAAGGAGGGGATGGGGAAGGGGGGAGGGGGAAGGGGAGTGATACGAGTACGTTTTAACACTTGTCTTTGACAAGACGGATAAAATAAATAATCGTCGTGGGCTGACTTAACTGTATTGTGCTTTCTTTTCAGCAAAATGGCAAAGTCTAAAGACTGTTGGACCTACCTCCGATAACTTATGAAAAATGCTCTAAACTTTGCTAAATTCTCTCGTACTATTTGCCTCGTAATAAATTATGGCCCCTATCTTTGTATTCTTAAGTGTCCCTTTCTAAGCTGTAGCCGTAAAAACGAACAAATGCGTATGAATTTCATATTTCCTAACAAATAACCATACGATATTTAAATCACAAAATGATATATATATATATATATATATATATATATATATATATATATATATATATGTATATTATTTAATACTTGCGAGTGAACAAATCCATGACAACTCCAAACATTTATTGATATTCATCGATAACTAGACTAAAATTAATGGCATTAAAGCGGCATTAAGCGTTTACGGGATTTATTTTTCTTCGAGATATTCTTATGCCTTTTTCTTCTACGTTTCCCTCGAATCCTTACGTTAAGCCTCTTTTCCCTCTCGATTTAGCTGACCCCCTTATTTATATATCACTCGAGCATTGTAAAGCTTCTGTTAGGCAGCAACGCTACATGCTTCCCCCATCTTTCTATGCGTATGTGTATGGGTATGGGTGCGCGCGTATGTGTACATACGATGAGATGGGCACTCGTTTATCCAATCGAATTTTTCTTACGTAAGATAGCCAGTACATGCCGAAGATTGATACTTTTACACCCACTTACGGTCATGTTACATCATTCCGATCATTCCAATCAAATATACTTTGAAATATTAGTTTATCGAAAAGCAAATAAAGGTTGGGGGGAAGAGAGTCTAGTTACTGTAAATAATCATTATTAAACTGCAATGTCTTTAATATTGATAAATTGCAAATTTAACATTAAATAATGATCAAAATAATGATTCATAAATTGAAAAGATGAATAATAGTAAAATTAAATTTCTTATGAGGCGCTTTAACTATTATAATAAATGAGCAGAAATAGCTTGGATACATAAATAAAATTGCTTTTTTAGAATTATTTATTACATTTTTCATTCTCAGGCGTCATTAAAAAAGCAATTATAATCGAAATAATGATATTTTATTTTTTGTTTTTGCACGTGTGCGTGCGTATGCGTGCGTGCGTGTAAAATTATTATTCTGTAAAACCGCTAAATATTTGTTTTATAATACCAAGCTGTTAATAATTATTTTTTCATCGATTTTTCTGAAATTCTATCTTAATTCATATTCTACTTCGACTGGGCATAGATGAAATATAATAAATGATTTTTGTTGTAGTTTTTTTCGTGCACAGCCACTTTTATTTTATTAAATGAAATCAGTTTAATTAAACAAAACGTTCTACTGTATAACTTCATGGTAAATGTATAAAAAAAATTACTCAACAACTTTTAAATTACAAAAATAACACGTACGTATGAATATTTAAATATAATTATGTGTATATATATGTATATATAAGTAGCTGTTATGAATTATTTGTAAATATTCTGATAATATTATAATGATAGAACAAGCATAAAACATGTTCAAACGAACTATAATTTGGTAGTCGTAGTTGTCAAATTGTATCAGACAAAATGTATTATGCCACTACATATGCATATTTATAAATGCAAAAATATTTAATAAACTGGAATATATAGTCTTTAGAATTATTTACAATTGAGAATTAGATTTTATTAAATACATATATGATGAATATTTTAAGAACGAAAAAAAAAAGTATTGATATATAATTCTTGATGCAATTATGATTACATTATTATAATAAAATTATTGTATTGTCTTTAAAAAAAAAATTTTTCTAATTTAAATGTAAATTAAATTAAATTCTCTTATTAATATAAAAGAATTTTTAGTCAAAATTTTTTATTAAGATATAAACAAAAAAAAATGAGTAAAATCACTTAAATTAATAAATATAATGCATAAAGTACTTTTAACTTTCATTATCCCAAAGTCATAAAATGATGAGGTAATTTTAAGCAATCGATATTATGCTCTTCTGTTCTTGGATACATAACACAGTTTTCAGAGACACAAGGTTGATTGCTTCAACTATAATACAATTATTAATTACATAAAATTTTACCAAGTAAAACAACGCAAAAAACTTAAAAAGATATTAAAAAGCTTTGCAAATAAAATGTTCTTAATATTACCACGGTAAATAGGCGGAAGTCGTAAATTATTAACGACTGTAAATAAATTCTTAGAAGCTTAATTAAATTACAAAAATATAAGTAATCGATTGAAAAAATAATCGAATGGATAGATTTAATATTTATTTTTCATTACTAAAGTCCGTCTGTCATTAAAAAATGTAAAGACTCAAGTACACAAGATATCCCTTAATATTCTTAGTGTTTACATAGTTCTCAATCAAATGTCTTATCAAGAAAACAAAAACCACTACTCTATTTCAAATAATTTTCAATGGATTTTGCCAATAATCAGATACGAAATGATTCAAAATACTCCATTAAATATTATACTATTAATTTTTATGTAATATTATTGTTATCTAAACAAACGCAAGAACTCAATATTTGTTTAAATATGCTATAGGAAATAAATTAGATTTGAGAACATCGTAATTGAATTTAATAATTTGTAAGAGTGTATTTAATATTTTCAAATACTATATCATATGAAAAATTTAGTAAAAAATTCCTGAAATTTTAGCTTAATACTGCTAAGAAACACTTAAAATATTTAATTTACTTTTTATAAATATTCATAAAATACATAAAATTGTAGCCTTCCATTTTAAACAAAATTTCCTCCTATGTTGTATTTTAATACGGTTATATAAAAAAGTTGTTAGATTAGTTATTTCAATTAAAAGTTAAATTTCTCATTTGGTTAATTATAGTTTTATTGAAAAACATTTAATATATTATTATTATTATTTTATAATATAAAAAACATTTCTCGCATATGTAATAAACTATATAAACGATATGTATTTATTTTATAATTAAAATGAAATTTATAAATTTTACAAAATCGAAATTTAATCAATCACGATCATTGATTTTTTGGCTTTTGTTTAAGACATTTATATTCCATTAATTTACATTTTTTTTTTAATTTTCATTCGTGTCATGAGTATTACTTTTACATAAAAGAAAAAAAACCAATCTTAGTTAATCTATTTATCATAAAGTATTCTGTCGTTACTTGAAACAAGCACTTTGAAATAATTTCAAGCAAAGTTATTAATTGATAAAAAATATGATTTCTATATATATATATATATATATATATATACAGTTTGATAAAACTCTGAGAACTGCCATTATTGATAGATACTGATAATTAAATGCATTGATGCAAAGAATTTAACAGAGTTAAAATGTATTAAAATACCACAACTAAAACTAAAACTAAATACACGTAACCAACCATGATTTTCCCTTCAGAATGTAACTTATAAATTTGCTACAACGATTTCCGTTATACATGCATTATCAAATTTTTCATACGTTAAGCAATTATCTATTATTTATCTAATAATAGTGTACTTTACAATATCCTTTTCATTTTATATTTATTGTGTCAACCTACTATTTTTGTAAATCAATTACAATCTAAAAGTGACACTGATACTACGTTATAAAAAAAAATATATAAAATTCATATTAACGTCACTTTTTAATAATCACTTTTATATATTATGAAATACGTCGTAAATCGTGAATGTATAATTATGAAATTTTATTGAATTGTTTCAAACTACTCGCTCGTAATAATTCCTTGTTTCGTATGTTTAAATGTACGAATTACTATGTTATCCCATAAACACTTTATAAAGTCGAAGTTTATATATCTCGCAGGTTTTATTAGACTATTATAAAAAATAACTTTTAAAAGCCCGATGTATGCAAGTCTAAAATTTCTCTAATTCAGTGGATTGAAGTCTTTTTTTTCTAATTTAAATAAAACTAGTTAATAATTGTTATTCTCGTCAAAGATTACGTGAAACGTCAAATATTAGTTATGACTGTTGAAAGAAACTTTTTACAATGGTCTGATATATGATAGGTCAAAAACTAATAATAACTCGCAATAAATTAATAATGAATGTCCCATAATTTTTAATAGGATTAAGGAAACATCTTTAATGAACAATCCTCATACAAAATTATATTATAAGTACCCTCCGGTGTTTCACGAAAGAAAGTAACATTTGAACCAAGTGCAAGTTGAGCTTCGTAGAGCTAAAAATATAAAAATTCATCCATTCTTTGTCTGAAGAAATATTAGATCGTTAGTAAATGTTTTAAAAAAAGATATTAAACGTATATTGCAAGTGACGAATGAAAATAAAATCTTAAAAAAAATGTTTATGTTTTTGTTATTTTTTCTTTGTATAAGATGAGCCTTTTTATTTGCAAATTTACTTGTTTTAAAATATACACGAATAATATGTTTAATTACCAATATGTTTAATTAGTACTTTTATTGGATAAAATTAAGTGACATTATAAGTAACAAAATATTGAATACAATAACGTTCGTTATCAGAAATTAAATATAATTAAATCTATCAACTTTGAATAATCAATGAATAAATAAAATGTGCATTATTCTCAAATATAATTTATACATGTGCAAATTATTTTATTAAAAATAAGAATTGTTTTATAATTAATTATTCTTATTAACATGTATATATATATATATATATATATATATATATATATATATGTTACTACTATTAATTTTACTTATGTTAATAATATTTAATTATAATATCATTATTTATATTATTTTTTTATTTACTAAATCTACGTGGTTAAATTGAAGTTTAATTTTTATTAGAAATTTTGAATAATTGTAAATAAGTTTACATCAAATAAAAGTATTATTAATTTTTCCGAATGAGAAGTGTATAAAGCGGTATCGGTATTTTTAAAAAAAAAAAAAAAAATATATATATATATATATATATATATATATAATACACGTCATAAATCATTATTTAAACGATTGATCTAATTATCTATACAAACACGAACAATAATTTTATAATAAAAATGTACTAATTAATTTTATTCTACTATGATTGAAAGGTCTATTTTAAATTATATTACAATCTATCTAATATTTAACGAATAAATAATAATTAAAAAAATTAAAATACAGTAAAAGAAGGAAAAGCAAATTTCAATTATACAATCATTATATTACTTCTCAGCATTAAATTAAGAAGTATATTAGTATTTAAATCAAAACACAATTTTTTCAGAAAGACTGATTATATCAGCAAATAGAACTACAAAAAAAAAAAAAGAAAGATCGAAGAATAAGCTAATCGCAAAAAAAGTGTGTTTTTATCAATCGAAGTTTATTATAAGAAGTATAGAACCATAAAATGATAAATAATAATGAAAATATTGTAACCATAAAAATCACATGTAAGGAAAAAATATCAGTAAAAGGAAAAGTAAGTATTTGCGAAAAGCGATTGCGATAAAAAAAAAATAAATAAAGAATACGAAGTAGAAGACAATCAGAGACAAACAAAGTATTCCAGTAACAAAATGTATTCCTGTTACATTGTAAAAAGTTGAATGCGTTAAATTAAATTACAAAAATCGATTAAGGTGCTGGAGTTGAAAGAGACTCAGACGGAAATAAAGTGGTTTAATCAGAGACAATCCAACATCTCATTAAAACCTAAGAACTAACAACAAATATTTCATAAATGTTTTTTTTAATCTTTCTCGGGTGTAATAGAATTTTTAGTAAAAATAGAGCCTGATATTATCGGAAAAAATTCAGTGGTCATAATTGAAATAACTTGATTTAAGAATAGATAAGAAGGACTAACGTGTAGCCGAGTAAATCTTATGACCAAATCTAAAAGATTTGACGATGAATAGAATAATACAAAGCTTTGGAATCACTATTTTAGAACAGAGTACAATTGAATTATTAAAGATGTCTCGAATAAAAATGCAAAGTAAGGTAAAAGACTCGACTCACTGCTTAATTTAAAAAATAAATGAATAAATAAAAAAGTAATTTTATTTCATTCTTACAGTACGAATTTGGAATATACATATATACACAATGTTATTTTAAAATATTACAGAATATTAAAAAAAGAAGTGTCGAAATCAATAATAAAATTGAACATAAAAATTGAATGAAGGATAAATAAATTTGCATTATTCTAAAATATTGCGTTCATTCTAATTCTAATATAAAACAAAATTATATATTATAAGTATAATGTATGCGGAGATGCATTTGCATTTACAGACACAAATAATATGTAGATTTAGTATAATTCTATCCCTCGGAATTTAATTTTTCAAAAAATTAATTCGCAAAAATTTTATTAACAATATTTATAATTATTATAATTCGGCCGAATATCCTATATAGACTTTAAATATAAGCAATGTCTATAGAAAAAACATTTTTTTTTTGAAAGTTTTCTAAAAATTTAATAACGAAAATATTTTTAAAGTCTAATAAGAAATAAATCTTTAAGTCTCGAGTAAAGGATTCTTCTCGATAAAGAAAATCTTATTTAAATGATTTAATATATATTTTTAGAGCATATTGTGAACGCATTGAAAATGAAATGCTAGAGAAATTATGAATAATGGAACAATTTCATTGTCTCTGTTATATAGTGAGGAAAGTTTAAAAAAAAAAAAAAAAAAAATTGTAAAACTTATTGCTCTTCATTATTAAAGTCATAAAAAATTTCACGAACGAATTTCGGTAACGAATTATCAAATAAAAACTTAAAGCCTAAACAACTTCTTTATTTAAAAGAAAACTTTATAATACGTAGGAATTGGCGATAATTAAAAGTTTCCTTTCTGAAAAAGAGAATGTTTTCACAACAGTTAAATTGAAATGATTATAGAATTAATTAATAAAGACGAGGCTTAACAAATTATCCGTATATTTTTGGACGTTTGTTAAATAAAAAATATATAATTAGCTAACGATGGCACATTCGGTGAATTTGTTTATGAAGATAAAAAATTTTCTACAATTCGAAACTAAGTATATATTTACAAAGCGCCTGAAAATACCATTTATAGCTAACGAATAATTATCACTTAACGACTAGCATTTAGTGCTTAATATTCTTGCTCTCGTTGTCGAAAATCAAACAGCGAATTAGCAAACGAACGAATGAAAAATGTCACTGGCAATTAAAATGCACGCGAGAGAAAGAACGATTCATCCTCCCTTTCATGCACAAAAATCGGCTCTTTTCGAATTGATAGAAGAGGATAATATCCGCCACGAGGTCAGTCGTATGTTTTTACACACACGAACACGCGTATCAGCATATTTCGCATAAATCGTGTCTTATGCCTGGAGAACGGGGAGAGTGATGAGGAGGGCGAGCGCGATTTTGTACGGCCCTGTCTCCCTGTTGGGGCTCGTTTGGTCCATGCGCCCTCCTCGTCAACCCCTTCTACGTACTCGAATGGGGGCGGAACTCTTTCCTATTGACGTGCACGCGGTTCCAAGTTCGCGCAAGCCCATGACATTCCGACATTCGCGACATCTCGTTGTCTCAGACGACGAGACAGCGGGAAAATAGAAAATAAATACGATATAGGGGGGGGGGGGTCACCGGCCGGCATCGCGTTAATTTTTAGGGCCTTGAGTAATTAATTAATTAATGAGTTTGAAGAAAGCGCGAAACTTTGATTGTCGCAGGATCGACTGAATTTCTCGCTCGAATTTGCTTGAATCTACTGACCGCTGGACGGTATTTTTTCAAGGCTAACGAAACGTTGTTTTTAGATCGTTTCAGACGTCACGATAAGAGTGTTCTGGACTTAATAATGAAAGATGCGTATGCTTAATCGACGATTAATGATATCAATGATGCCAATAAATGGCTCTATATTTACCTTCTCTTAGTTTCATCTAAACTAACAATTTTCAATTACACTAAAAGCTTGTATATATTACATTTTGTTTCGATGAAAACTGTGAAGATTAGAAATTCAAACGAATTAAATAAAATTACATGAAATTCCGTCTCTAATTAATTAATTAATAATTAAGAAGAAAAGAAAGCATAACGCAAAATATTAAAAATACAATTGAAAATATAGTTGTGCCAATGAATCGTTCATATTTTAAATAAAATTCATTTGTCAGCTGATTTTATTGTAACTATTTTTATTAGTATTTTCGTATTTTACTTTTACTTCATAAATCGATTCGTTTTAATAATACAATGAATTATATTTAATTAAAGTTTTCAAATATTATTTATATACTAATGAATAAAATAATTAAGTAAAATAACTGTTATTATTGTATATTGTTATTGTTAACTGTTTTTAATGTAATTTTTTAGGTTAATGTATATTTAATTATGCAAGCGATTAAATTATTAAATGACCATTATAATGTAAAAAGGCGTGTGCAATCACAAATAAAAATTATATAAAAAATTTCAACGAGATTCACGTAAATTTTAAATATATTTTATAAAAAAAAAAAAAAAAAAAATGGCATTTCGATGTTATCGACTGAAGATAATCAGTTTTCAATTTTACCATAAAATTCATTACAACATAAATGTAGATAGAAGCTGTTTTAGAAAACAATCAAAATGTTAAAGATTATTAAAAAAAGGACGACTTTAGCTATTTTGCCTTTTTTAAACTTGCAAGATAGTCCTTATGATAAAGTCGAAGGTTCTACAAAGGATATTTATGAAATAGATGAGAATTTAACTGGAATGCAAAGGTTAAAAAATATCTTTAAACCTTAGTAAGTTACTTATATAAATAATATAAGTTACTTTATTTATAAATACTGAATTTAATTAAGTAAATGACATTAATATTATGTACATATATATATATATATATATATATATATATTTATTTATTTATTTATATATATTGTTTTTCAGTAACGATAATGAATTACATCCCACATTAGTATCAATTATGGAATCAAGTTTTGCAAGTTTTTTTGTGGGTGGTGCATACGGCGGTATTAAAGGAAGCAAATATGCATTGAATGATTTTATAGATAAAAATCGTGTGACACAATTTGCAAGTCACATAGATGCCAAAAGAAAATTAATGGATAATATGATTTTAAGTTTCGCAAAAAATTTTACAATTTGGGGAATAAAAGTTGGTTTCTTTACTTCGTCATTTATGTAAGAGTTCAAAATAACATATTAGTTATTAATATTAAACAATTAAGTATGAACATTGATTACAGTATTGGACAAACGTTAATGACAGTTTATCAAAATAAAACGTCAATTTTTAATTATACAGTAGGCGGAATGTATGCAGGCGCGTTATATAAAATTCCTTTAGGACCTAAAGGCATGGTTTCGGGAGCAATATTTGGTAGTTTTTTTGGATCGTTATTTGGTGGATTGCAGTACCTCCTTTACAAAATTACTAATGTCTCTGAAGAAGATATTACGAAGTTAAAATATCAATTGTATATAAACCGAAAAATGTAAGTACTCTATATCAATAATGTAAGTTTAAAATATGCTATTATTTTATTTTTTAATTTTAGTGCAGTGGAAGATGCAAAAAGACAAATGTATGTAAAAAGAAGTATGAGAGATCTTGCAACAACGATTTCAGAGATTGATACCGATTGATAAATAATTTTATAATATTAATTTTAGATTATTTAATACCAATAATAAATCTATGCTCCAGCCTAAATCTAAAGTAATATTTTAAATAATTACGCATGTAATGTGTAATTTATTACGTCGTTCAATATGTACGTACATTTCATTATGTACATCCTACACAATTTATTAAAAATAACGTTAATCTGTATTACTATAATGCCGGGTGTACATAACGAATGATTTATTTTACTTTAGTACTTTAAGCAGTAAATTAAATATTTTTATTAGATCAATACATATTTTAGTACGTTAAAAAAGGAAAACATACTAGTATTTAAAATACAATAAAATAATATTAAAAATATAGCTACACACAAAAACGAGCAATAAAGATTCGCATTTACAGAATAGGCCTGGTTACTATTAATGTGAATTTTTTTCAAAAATATAACATTAAAAATTCGTTGCAAAATTTACAAAAAAAAAAACAATATACTTAAAAAATTAATCAATCGTTAAAGAATAATAAAATAATAATACGCTTCACAAATTATTCGGTAATTAGACGTTAACTTTTTTTTTTTTTTTTTTTTTTTTTTTTTTTTTTTTAAATTTTTTATATATTCTGAGAAAATCTTGATTCGACACTATTCCAAAGTCTCAGTTTCCTGAACCTTTGTTATGCGCTTTCCACCTCTATTTGGCGGACCTTTCGGCTTGGCAAATTTTGGTCGATGTAAATTCACCTTGGGATGCAACTCGTCTTGTAGAAAAGCTTCCGTCAGATCCTTTCCATCATCTATTTCAAGCTACATAAGAAAAGGGAAAAGTTCAAATACTAAATTATATTCTACTTTATAAAAATATGTTTATTTAAGACTTAAGAAGAACAATTGTTGAAAGTTTCTGACGAGTACTACAGGCCTATTTTGTAAGTCTCTCTTTTTTGCGTATTGTTAATTTTTATCATTTTTTACATACCATCTGGATGACTCGTCTTCGAGAATTGCTCCCAGATTGACAGCACAATGATGATGAAAGTATGATTAAAGAAAACTATTCATATTCTTTTTACAGTTTGATATAGTATTTTTATTATGTTTTTGATACTCGATGTATCGTTGGCAAGATTTACAATCGAATCTTCATTCATAATGCTTTCTTAGCTACTGAAACCCTAAAGCTATTAACAAAATTCTGCTCGTCTTATTACAAATAAACAACAGTTTGTTGATAAACAAGTGAAGCATTTATTATAGAATAGGCCTGGAGCAAGCGTCACTCTCTTGAAAATTAAAATTATCTAGCCCCAGGCGAATATATATATATATATATATATATATATATTATATATATAATATATACAGCAATCTCATACTGTATAATAATCATTCAATTAAACAATGTTTAAATTGCATGATCCATTTGCTAATGAAAATCATTCGTTTTCTTTAATACGTTTGTCTGTGCATTACATTAATGGAAAATTGTTTTAAAATCGTAATCCACTAATGGATTTGAACTTTGAGTTATATAAAAGGCTACTATTAAAAAAATACAGATCACACAAAATAGAGAATACCTCTTTAATTTCACAATCTTTATATGGCTACCTTTTGGTTTCCACCTACTTTAAGCTTTTACCGAGAAATAGGAATGAGCTCGACAAAACTAGCCATCGATTTAGCCAACATAACTTGGAAAAACTTTAAACATAAAAATACTTTTGTTTATGTTAAGTGAAACTGATTGTCGAAATTACACTTTATTTTATCCTCGTTCCTATTTCTATTTTACAGATTTGGAATGTTAGCAGATTTGTAAATAGTCTTATATTAAACAGATTAAACTTAAATATAAAATTATAAAAGCTTAAAGAAAATGGAATCTGCCAGCGTCAGTCTTAAATATTATAATTTTTCACTGTCAAGTATCATTTTTACATTAGCACTGGAGACAGTAATATGCTTTTTTTTTTTTTTTTTTTTTTTTTTTTTTTTTTTTTGTTAATATACTTATGTGAGATTGTAGAGATTATCACTGATAATAGTCTTTTTTTTTTCTTTTTTTTTTAAAATGGAAGAATTATTCTGAAAACTCAGTTTTCTCTTTGGAATACCCTTTTAAATTTGAACATTATTACTTATTTTATTTATAAAATATTGAATTTGAACAAATCAATTATATGTAACTGATTCATAAAATACTTTATTAAAGACAATATTATTAATTAATTATATTTCATTTACTCGTCAATAGAATGTCAAAAAATTTAAGTAAGTGCTGAGTACAATACTACAAGTATTTAAAATATAATAATCCTAACTGTCACTCTACATATTTTCTTTCATCACATAAATGGTATTTATCAAGGCTACTAATACCATCATTCGTCAATAGCTCATTCATTTTTAAAAGAACAATTATTCTACAATCCCAAAATGCATATTCATTTTTAGAGAAATCATTTTTATGGTGTAGAGTTAGGTTTTCATTTATCTTATCTTCTCGTTTCACTTGATGCAAAGTAAAATGCTTAAAAATATTTATTCTAATAAGTTAATGTCTGAAAGTAAAAAAAAATTATTTTTTATATCAGCTATTCGTTATGCGAGCACATAAAAATGTTTAGGAATAATCTAATTTGAGATTTAAAAAATAATTGATCTTTCAATTATTATTATTTTCATAATCTTTTTTCTAATCACTGCTACATGAATTCTTACACATATCAATGTCCGACTTCAAACTCTACTTAAGCCTTCGTTTACTGTTGACTACATCAACAATTAATACATAAATGTATAACTTATTTGTATATCACGTCGTTTAGGACTAGGAACTAATTAGAGAGGCAGTGCACTGAACGTTCTGGTTATTCACTAATATGCATACACGAAGTTTTGCATATAATTTTCATTTTAAAATATCTTATAGTCTATAACAGCACCGAACGAAAATTCCTTCTATAACGAAAAATAATTTATAAGCATAGGAATTAAAAAAATAATTTACAAAGAAATGTTTAATTTATAAATAGAGAAAAAACAGTGCAGAAGTTTTAGATTAAAAAAGGGAAAAAACTATCACTAAATAACTTGTGGAAAAGACTTATTTTCGAGATGAGTCGGACAACAGAATCAAAGCAAAAACTTACAAAACTCACGATAAAATAAATCTGACTTCTAGTTCTATTATCTCTATTCAACACATAGGATCTTTTATTAATATCACTGTTAAATTTCCAAGTATTTCCTAGATTGTTCTAAAAAAATAACAAATCTGTATAAATTATTATATTTATGTGCTATATCCAGCTTAAATTTTTTTTTCCTTCTAAATATCAAAGTAAATATATCATTATTCTAATTATTCTTTACTACACATTGTAATATGCAAAATAAGATTATCACTGAAAATTTAGAAAAATACACCAATAAGTCTCTACTCTGTTAGTACAATATTTACGTATTGTGATACGTATCACTTTAATTTCAAAAAACAATACTTCTAAAGAAGTTGTTTAAATATATCTCGGAAAAATTCGCGTTATATCACAAAGTCGAAATCCGAAGTTCTGGACGATAGTTTCTTGCTCTTATGTTCTCTTTCAGTTAATACATAGAGAATAGTTTTGGGTCTCTTCTCTCTTGGGAAGGAGACAGAATTGGCAAAAAATATATATTAAGCCTGTTAACTTAAAACGCAGGATCGCTTCGGCTTCGATTTCTTTAGCGTTATTGTGTTCGGTGGGGCACATGGTGTTGACGGAGTGGCTGGTGTTGAGATGCCCCCGTCTTTTTTTACTGGCGGGTCTTCCAACATATCTGCCAACTCCTCACCACTAGTTACTTCCAACTGCGATCAATTGCAGTTTTGTGAAAGAGAATTTAAAATTTTTGTTTTTTTTTTATATACATATATATACATATATGTATATATATATATATATTTATGTATGTATGTATATATATATATATATATATACATAAACCTTATCGAAAATTTATAAATACACTTTTTTTCAAAAAATAAACTAAAGCTACATTTCAACATTATACATGAACATTATACATTATATAATGTTCATTTTTAAAAACTAAAAATTTGTAGTTGATGACCTTACATTGAAAGGAACAGACTCATCTGAAATTCTTAAAAATATCAATTTTTTTAATAATTTTGTAAAATTAATTTAAACTACATTCTATAAATAATTTTAAGAAATAATTAAAATATTTGGCTTTTAATTGTTAGTAACATAAAATTCATTTTATATTTATATTATTATAAGATTTGATCAATTAAATAATACTATTATTACAATTTATTTTAAAAATTGATTTTTAAGATTTTAAAATCTGATTCCACCTCATACTTTTTTCATCTGTGACGTAAGTATAAACTAAATGTGCAATTAAAATATAAGCGCTACTCACCTTTTTTATGATTGTTACGCCTAAAGATTGAATTAACTCAAGCAATGGAGCTTTACAAGAGGAATATAACATCCTTTCTTTAATACTACAACTATAGCCAGGCATACTATATATAAAAACTGAAAAGTTTTTAAACTAATATTAAATAGGATAAAGTAGAAATAGAAATTATTAAATATACAAATTCATACCAATACATTCCATGAAATCACCTTCGTGAGTATGTTTGAAATTATATAAATGATATCTAGCAGAATCCGAAGGTACTTTTGTTGGTAATTTATCTAATGATACTTCGCAAGCCATGACTAAATAAATTTTCTCTTCCTCTAGGTCTATTTTTAGCTGTACGTACTCGTGAACGCCTTTTCCTAAATCCGTTATTGCCTGTTTAGCTTCGTCGGATACAGGAAAAGCTACACCGCTTAAAGTTTGATGTCTTGTTTCGATAGAGTAGTCCGTATGAATTGTTGTTTTCTTTAATTCGGCCAGTTCTTCCTCTGCAGTGGTTAATGGAGCTGGAGCTGCATCGTTTCTCTTATGTTTGTGATAACCTTCTAGGCTAATATCTTCTGGGATAGTCCCATGAAGTTCTTCTTTTATAGATGCAGTGCCAAATTCTTGTTTCAATGTTGCTTTTGTCGAGGCGTATAACATTTTTTGCCTTACTGGAGCAGTATCGGGAGACCATGATATCAAAAGCCAATCGTAGCCAGAATCCGAAGATTTGGAGTCAAAGCGATAAAGAATGTAAGCCGGTTGATTTTCCTCTATCAATGGCTTTATCATTTTATCATAATCATTTTGCCATTTTCCAACTGGTTTGGATGAAGCAGATGGTACTAGTTCTTCTATAAAGGTTTCAAATATAATTACTAATGCATAAAAAATAAGGTGAGTTTCTATATATAAGATGAAATTTAATATTATTTACAAAATAGTGTTATGAAAAACTTTAGCCAACTTATAATTATAGATTGTAGACTTATCTTTATATATATATGCGTGCATATATATATATATATATATATATACACACATGTAGGTGTGCGTGTATGCGTGTGCGTACGTGGATATGTATATGCATTTATTTATAAAAATTAAATGAATCTCAATGAGATGATCAAATTAATTCATTTAAAATAATAATAATAATAATAATAATAACTTGCCATTTTCGATAGAAACCTTGAGAAGACGAAATTTTCCATCTCTACACTTGGCAAAACTTTTCTTTAACGCTTCGTTGGCTAAAAGGAAATTTTGAAAAATGTATGACAAAGATCCAAATGAAAATACAGCCACAGAACTGCATTTATTCCTCTTCGTAAGATAATAAAATTAAAAATTTCACCTGACAATCCTACAACAAGCTCACCTTTAATTCCTGTCTGATGTGACATCTTAGCCAAGTGCCTTCAAGTGCCTTCCCTGCTGCCGTGTGACTGCGCTCCTTTATTATTACTTTCTTTTTTTATACGGTTCAGCCCAGCCGACGTCCGACGTACGACGAGACTGAACTGACTGAACTGACTGAAATGTGCATAAGAAAATAAGAACACATTGGACAAATATGAAATTTATGAAACTATATGTGAAAGAGATGATGCAAAAGCATCAACGAAGTAAGATGAGTTGAGGAGATCCTCATTTGGAACCGGGAACAAATTCCTTTGCATAAACTAGCGTCTCTAGCGGCAAAACTTTCGATTCGTTTGCGCAACACCACTCACATTTACATTGTGAAGGGATATAAAAAAGAATGCACGCGCGCGCGCATGCCATGTAAATTTGGTAAGAGCAAAATTAGGCAAATAGATCTTAATGCTAATCAATCGAATGGTAAATCATTGGCAAATCTTTATTCTTATTAAGTGTTTAAACAATATTTCATAGAAGAATTATTGCGATAAATCTAAGAGACGTTTCCGTTAATACTAAGCCGATAGGTTTACCCAAAATTATAACTAATTAACGCACCCATTATATATTATAAATTATAAATTATAAGGCAATTTAGTATATTAGATGCTAGTATATTTATAAGTAATTGTTATAATAGTATTGGCAGAAAATTAATTGATAATCGATATTGTACAAATGTAATTTTACTATTAAAATGTTCAACCTAATTCACTCCCCTTTGTTATAGAAAATTGTTAAATTACATAGAATAAATATAGCTCTGACGATAATCAAATAACTATTAAAATTAATAAAAATTCATTTCTCTTTAAAAATTATATTGTAAATTGAACATGTATACTTATAAATACTTTATAAGAAATATAAAATAATGTATATAAACTAAAAAGTAATATTACTTATGAATATTAAGTATTAATCTCAAGTTATAGATCATGTATTAAGAAATCTTATTATTAAAATGACGAGATATTGTTGTGAAAAAATAAATAATTAAAAAAATTTACTCTATTTTAAGAGCAAATTTAATTTTACTAGAAATTACTTAAGTAATAACTGCTTACCGGACTAATTATAATAATACTTAATATAATTAATTAATTTACCATAATAAATACTTAGCTATCACTTCTAAATAACTAAAATTTTAATTATTTTCAATTTTATTCACTTGGCATAAAATAACATGTTTTTTCTCTCTAAATATATTATTAACTATACTACATTATACACTGACAAATAAGCACAATGCTAGTTATACATATATATATATATATATATATATATATATATATATATATCTGTGTTAATTATTTTTCATTTGGCAAACACCGTTAAATATCTGTAATTCGAATTGTTTTGAAATTCGATATAATTTATTTAACCGTAGCATATAATCATTGCAATAAAAAGAAAATAATTATTTCATCTTTTTAAGGATGAATTGTTACTTGGCGATATAAATTCACACAACGATACTGATTACTTTTTTCGAGCACAAAATAAAATAAACAATATATAAACAATTTAACATTGGAATGTCTGTTATTTTCCAGTGTATATCATAACATATTGCAATAAGATCTAATTATAAATTAAATTAAGTTTTCTTACCGTTTCTGTAATTTAAAGTAATACGTTAATTACAGATACCTTCAAGTAGTTTAATAAAAACAAAAACAAAATAAATAAAAAATTTACACACAATACTTGAAAAAAAAAAAATAATAAAAAAATTATTGAATTAACACTTAATATTGTACGTTTAATCAAATTACTATTGCCCGAATTACAAGACTCAGCGATATATTAAAAAGTTGTATACGAACATAAATTAAAAATGATTCTTCAATGTATAGGAGCAATATCGATAAATAATACAATTAACACCGTATTTTAATGTAAAAATAAAATTAACACTATTTTTACAATAAAGAAAAAGAAAACTTAATATTAAGGAATTTTATTTAATAATGATAAGTCGCTATTGAATTAAATTTAAAAAATGTTTGAAGAACAGTTTTATAAAAAATAATTCAAGAGATCGCTGAGAGCTGTGAAATAAAAATAAAATAAACATTCGAGACTCTTTTATTTCAATTGAAACAAAACATTGTTTATAAATGTATTCAATAATTATTTTAAAAATAAATTTTCAATGCAAGTATAACAAATTATAAATATACATTGTTAAAGAAAAGTATATACAATTTTTTATTTATATAGAAGATATGGCTCTGTGATAATATTATTATATAAAGATAAACAATAAGATTTTTTTTTTCTTTGTACAAATCAAACATTATCGATAAATTATACTTAGTCATAATATTCTATTCAGCTTTGGATAATAACACAAAACTTTTTGTCGTTAAGTTTAAACTTTTCATTAACACTAAATGCAAACTTATCGAGCTAGAGAATTTTAAAAACAAATACCTTACCGTCAAATTTCTTGTTCAATTTGAAATTGATTTTATATTCCGGCAATTTTTTTCCAGCAATTTTACCATATACAGCATGTTAATTTTATAAATTTAACCTTACTATTCCTATTAAAGAGGAAATAAGTAAAAAAATGTTCGTGCTTCTTTTATTCAACTATTTTGGTTTTCAGTTGTCATTTAACGACTGTTCATTATTGTCTCGCGTGCATTAACTTTAAATATTATCTAAATATAATAACGAACAATGAAGGAACGGTGATAAACTTTAGTAGGCTTTCAAACTTAAAATACACGCCCAAATAATGTAATATGTAAAACTGTAACTATTGTTTGTAAAAGCGCACTATTATTTTTCGTTCTTTCTTTTTTTTGTTCTTCTTTTTTCTTTTTCTTTCCTTTTCATTTATTTATATTTCACTAAAGTCAATAATTACACTTTACTTACATTTATTAATACGAATTACATGCGTGTTCTGTTAATATTCTTACTTTTAATTTGTAGCGAAAAATTTCTACACATCAGCTTAGATATAACCTAATCTATATATCATTTAAAACATTTAAATCTTAATATTATACTACATATATATATATATATATATATATATATATATATATATATATATCGGTACAATTCATAAATAAATATTTAATGTATTTCTGTCTTACTTATCGTTGAGTAAAAAATTGATATTGTTAACAGAGAGGTATTTTAATGAAACGAAATTTAATCATTTCTTGTATATTCAGAAACACTTTTTTTCATATTATTCGAGCGAAATTTATTAATCGCACGCTCGCATGTTACGAAAGTGGAGCATAATGAAAAGAAATATATATTAAAATTAAAGCCAGTAAGAATTGAGAGCACACGAATAAGAAAAAAAAAACCTGAAATATCCCTGCACTTGATTGTCAGTATATCATTAAGAGAGTGAAAAAAGAAAGTATAAATCGTTTCGCTCTTTAACAACAACGATAAAACTGATAATAAAGTAAGATTCGCACTAGCGTGTTTTAATTTTCAAATTTGTATTAGATGTTAGTGAAACATCGCCCCAAGTATTTATCTTTTAATTATACTAGGATTACACCACATTTACATTTAGATTTCCTTTTTTCTTTTCTTTTTATACTACTACAGTTAATTTTGTATTTATGTTTATCATTAATGGATGTTATTATTGAGGAAATTTATATAAACGCTAAACTCATATTGGGGTTTTCTTTCTTTTTTTTTTCTAAATAATGTATCGATATTTAAATATTAAAAATAATGCGCCATAGAGCTCGAAACGAGGCGAAATATTTTCAAAGCTAAAACTGTGGGAAGAACAAAGCCATTGCCAACTTTGCTAAAGTCAACGATCGATTATTTTTAATTTACTATATTGGACCTACACGCGCGAACGCGCTCACACACACGCGCACGCACGCACGCACGCACGCACGCACACACACACACACACACACACACGCACGCATATACACTTACGCGCCCACATAAACATAATTAATCCTTAACATCGTCAAATATCCACAAAACATTGGAAATAATTCAATTGTAATTGACAATTTGCTAGTGAACTTAGGCTGAAAGCGCTAAGTGAAATATAATATTAAGTAAATTTAATTATTATTAATTATTTATTAAATCTTTATTCGATACATTAATGTAAATTAATGAAATTGACTTCGACAATTATGCCAATTACAAAATGATTAGTTTTGGTAATCGCACAGACATTATTCAGAAAGTTAACACCAATTAAAGAATGCTTAAAAGCTTATATAATATGATAATATGATAATATTTCTGAAATTTTTAAACTTTAATGTACTTTGTCGAAACCGCTTCTTAAACCATCTGATAATTCAACGTTTAAAATTTTTAAACTCTTACTTTAAAACTGCATTATACGTGAAATAACGGAGAATATTTTTTATAAACAATTATTCAAACTCTGCTTATTAAAGATGCTATATTTTAAAGAACTTATCTTTTCGAAATTATTTTATACCTTTTTAAAGGAGAATGATTGTCATTGATTGGCTGGAATGCTTTTTGAATTATAATCCAAAATGTAAATTTAAACATTATTTTAAAGAGTCAAAGATTTTAATATCTAATGGCAATTGACAGGTGACAATTTTTTCTCCTTGGTTGTAGTGGATAAAATGTTGAAGTAATTTATTATTTTAGATGCTCTAGAATGTTGCATCTAAGCCCAGAGATTGGCTCGACAGCAATTTTTTAATAAAAAAAAAAAAAAAAAAAAAAAAAAAAAAAAAGAAGAAGAAGAAGAAGAAGAAAAAATCAACAAGTTGCAGACTGTATTGTGAGAGAAAGTAGATGGAATAGTCTCGTGCGGCAAAATAACGACTGTACACACATATTATCAAATTAAATAATCAGTAATAACATCGATTTTATATGTTTTTATGCACATTTCTAAAGTTATACATCGATGAAACATATATATTCGAATAAAGTATGGAATAATAAATGGAAAATTGAGCAACGTTTATTATCGATTTGTTTTTAGTCGATGAATCGATTCTCAATAAAAATGTTAAAAAGAAAAAACCATAATAAAGTAGTTGAATAAAAATAATCGGTCGAACAAATTAATTTCACTATCCAAGTATGCTCTCTCTTGGTCGTTTATCAAATTATCAATTAAAAGGCAGTATAATTTAAAATTTATTTATTTATTTTATCGATGTTATGTAGCTTACTATTATTCTGCATAACTTCGACATATACAACACATTTGCGCTAATATTATGACCACGATGTTTCAATTTGTAATAAGCGATGAAGTTATTGTGACATCTAAGCAATTAAGCGCTTCTCACTTAATATTAACGTGAAATTGGTAATTGGCAATATGCAAGACGGAAGGTGCTCACTAGACAAATACCCACAATAAACATAATCCAACGAAATGACTAAACTTATTATTTTGTAATAAACAATTGACGGGGACCCATACGACTGCATACAAATGTTTGCGTTTTTAGTAAATTTACAAATGAAACAGCCAACTTTGCGCACTTTCATCGAGCTAAGAGATATTCAAAAGCAAAAGCAAGAGTCTACTTTATCAGTCGAGGTTACACATTGCATTCGGCATTGCAACTGCTCCTATCAATTCGCTGCTTTCAAACTCTTCGCATGTATCCTTTCGACCCGTGGTGGTACGTCATCCGTGCTCGCTTATTTCCTACTTTCTTCCGCAATGTGCATGTGTGCCTGCGGGTATGAGCCTGTAACGCAGCCGCAATACTGTGAATGCAAAGAGAAAGAGCATCGTCGGCGCGAACGCTGCTGGCTCAATCAACATGGAAAAAAAGGCAAAATAATCTGTAATCAATAGGATATCGACTTGGCGAATGAGCCTTCTCTTGCAAAAGTGCAACTGGCGATTTGGCCTGTCATCGCTGCGCGTCGTTACAAAGCAGCAGACACCGCTCGCAAAACACACGCGATTTTGTAGGTTAAAGAGCCAACTCGCGGTAGTTCCTGCACGCTGGGGTACGAAGAAAACATTTCGCAAGGTGAAACTGCAGGTTGCTTTAGACATGACGGACCCGAATATCGAGAGCGAACTCGCACCTCTGCGTGCGAGCGTCAAGGAGCAGGTCAGTCATCCACGTGTTTCCTTTTCCCTTTCCCATATGGCTTAAAGCACTCGAGCTTGATTAAAATGATTCGACAGTGCCGCGTGCTCGCGTCGCAGCATCATCTCTTCTTATTTACCTTAAAATAGCTTTTCATTTATTGCTGAAGATGTTAAATGGACTGTCTGAACGATTAATTACTTTGGCCGCAGTTGCGATGCGTTGATATGCACGGTCGATATGATTTTCAACGACATTTTTTATTTTTGAACATTGCTTTTTGAAACTTGCAAAATAATAATAATAATAACAGTAATTATAATAAACAACAATGATGATAATAATTATTTGAATGACACTATGAATTACGAAATAAAAATGAATCCTTTGTTCGATTTACGTTTATTATTCTTTAACGCGACTTACGATATTTCAAACTATGCCTATATTTTTGTAGATATATATATATATATATATATATATCTACATATATTTATATATATATGTATGTGGTTCTTGGAAAATATCAATGATGAAACCAATGTTTTATTTAGAAATAATTATAATTCTTTTTTTAGGGAGATTTAGTCAGAAAACTCAAAGCTGATGGAGCTCCGGAATTCGATGTTAAGAAAGCAGTCGTCGAGCTTAAATTGCGTAAAAAATTATTGGAGGATAAAGAACTCTCGTTGGTTCCTGATTCCCAGGTATTTGATAAATCAAGAATGGAGGATCTCTTAAAGCGTAGATTCTTTTTCGATCAGTCATTTGCCATTTATGGAGGAATCACTGGTCAATATGATTTTGGCCCAATGGGCTGTGCCTTTAAAACAAATCTTTTAAACGCCTGGAGAAGCTTTTTTGTACTCGAAGAACAAATGTTGGAAGTTGATTGCTCCATTTTAACGCCGGAACCCGTTCTAAAGGCCTCTGGTCATGTCGAGCGATTTGCCGATTTAATGGTAAAAGACATAAAAAATGGAGAATGTTTCAGGCTAGACCATTTGATAAAAGGTCATTTAGAAAAATTGTGCGCCGATAAGAAAGTAAACCAAGAAGTTAAAAAGCAATGCGAAGATATAATAATAAAATTGGATGGCATGGGTAAGGCAGAAATGGATGCTATACTGAAGAAATATGATATTAAATCGCCGATTACTGGAAACGACTTAACCGAGCCTATAGAATTTAATCTAATGTTTGGCACGCAAATTGGACCAACGGGTTTGATCAAAGGCTTCTTAAGGCCTGAAACTGCTCAAGGAATTTTCGTTAATTTTAAACGTTTGCTTGAGTTTAACCAAGAAAAATTGCCTTTTGCCGCTGCTCAAATTGGCAACTCGTTCAGAAATGAAATTTCTCCGAGATCTGGCCTTATTAGAGTAAGAGAATTCACAATGGCAGAAATTGAGCATTTTTGTGATCCGAGTGACAAAAGTCATCCAAAATTTGAATCATTGAAAGATACTACTTTATTTCTTTATTCGGCTTGTAATCAGATGGATGGTAAAAGTGCCGAATATATGCAAATAGGCAAGGCAGTCGAAAGTGGTCTTGTAGCTAATGAAACTTTAGGATACTTTATGGCTAGAATTCAGAAGTTTCTTGTAAAAGTCGGTGTAGATCCTAAGAAGCTGCGATTTAGACAGCACATGGGAAATGAAATGGCTCATTACGCATGTGATTGTTGGGATGCGGAATGTTTGACTTCTTACGGCTGGGTGGAGTGCGTTGGCTGTGCGGACAGGTAGAATTATTTATCCAGGCTTTTTTCATAAATATAATATCTGACCCGATGTACTTTTTTATAAGAATCCAATCTAAAAGATAAAAAAAAAAAACTGTTACAGATCAGCATATGATTTAACGCAACATACGAAAGCGACGGGAGTTAAATTGGTCGCTGAGAAAAAATTATCGCATCCAAAAACTGTTAACGTATGTAAAACTGTACCCAATCGTGCTAGTATTGGTAAAACTTTCCGCAAAGAAGCCAAACTAATCATCGATGCGCTCGCTGCATTGGAAGAAAACGAAATAGACACGTTAGAAAAAAATTTAAATGAAATTGGAGAGTATGAATTAAAAATATCCAATGATACGTATAAAATTACAAAAGATATGGTAACGGTTGATCGTAGTCAAAAAACTGTTCACGTTGAATTCTTTGTTCCTTCGGTAGTTGAACCTTCCTTTGGTATTGGCAGAATTATGTATGCAGTTTTTGAACATAATTTCAAAACAAGAGATGGCGACGAACAGAGAAGGTATTTCACTTTGCCGCCAATTGTAGCACCTTTAAAATGCTCCATTCTTCCTCTGAGTGGAAATGCAGAATTCATTCCGTTTATCAAGCAATTATGTAATATCAAATTTTCAAATGTATTTGAAAATATTCAAATGTAATGATTATCTTATGAAAGTTTAATCTTTTTTATTTTACAGCACAAGGACTCACGAGGGTGGATGTATCGCATAAAGTAGACGACTCGTCCGGTAGTATAGGTAGACGATATTCAAGAACAGATGAAATCGCCATACCTTTTGGTATTACCATTGATTTTGATACATTGAAAGTGCCGCATAGCGTTACTTTAAGAGAGAGAGACAGCATGAATCAAGTTAGAATAAATGTAAACAATCTTTAAACACTTATAAATTAATTCGACTCGTCTATTTAAGGGAAATACTAATATTGATTTATGTTTATTATTGGCAGATGGAAGAATTACCAAATATCGTAAGAGATTTATCGCTTGGAAAAATATTGTGGTCCGATGTTCAATCAAAGTATCCAAAGTTTGAACAGCAAGAATCCACCGAAGCTTAATAAATTTATAATATCACAATGGTAATATGCCTAATAAGTATTTAGAGCTTGCATAAAACAAATGTACGATCTAAATTTTGAGATTACTCGAGAATAGTAATTATCGAATGTAAAAAAATTAATGAATCCATTATGCGCTTCTAAATACACGTTTTTATTTTTTCTTATATAACAATTGTAAGATATTTTTACTGTAATTATTCAATATATTAAAGGAAGCATTTATTTAATTAATCTATAATTCTATAATAAACACGCACCATTTAACGTTGGAAATTTACTTAAATTCTCCGACAGTTAATTAAAACTTGATTCACTTGTGATATCCTAACACTGTTGCCCGATTCGATTTAAAAATTATTTTTTATAATTTATCGGCTAGTTTTGTCCACTTTTTAAAGGTTTTGCGTTGTTGCCATTTTGGCTCGATCTCAAAACCAATAATGTAAAATAGTCAGGTACGAAAGACAATGAAATCATTAAGGCCGTGAATGATAAATAGGATAATTAATTAGCATACGAACATTTGGCAGGATGAGAAGACGCATTAATAGTTTGAAAATTTTTTAAAAATTCTGCCTCATATTGCGCAAGTGTCGAATCTTTGCAATGGTCAGTGTTGATTGGCCCGATTGACCATTTCAAACGAGAGATCGAGAATAAACAGATGGCAACATCGCAAGACCGGCGATGGAGGGAGACAAAACTAGTATGCGATTGCTGAATGTTGACATTCAACATGGCGGCATGTCGTCAGTGCTGTGCTGTGTCGTGGTGAGTTTTTTAAGACCTCTAAATTCCGTAGATTCGCCAGTTTTGGACTGAGAAATACAAAAATGAAGTATTGAAATTTACGGTACACATTTATAAGACTTTTCATATGATTAAGCTCATTGGGTGGCCAAATTTAATCAACGACTTGTGCACTTAGCCATTTCTATCTCTTTTCCCCTTCTCGAGTGAAAAAAAAATTTAGAATTTTCCAACTGGCTACGGTCCTTCGTATTTTTATCTAATTCTTACGTCAAATTTAATAGCAAATCTGCCTTATTTCCCAACTATCACCGATTTTCCTCAATTTTCTATCGAGCAATTTTTTTTCCACACATTTTCCCTTCCCGTAACGGCTTATTCGTCTTGTGCTAGTCAAGTGATCCAGATTGAACCTGAATTGGTTAATAAAAACTATTTTTCTGCTGTACTTTTTTTAATCATAAAATGCACTCTTTATGCATACGCGTGTTTTCAATATTGTAAATTAATAAACAATTTGTTTCTATGGAATTTAAAATACTAGACGTATGAGTCGTGTCTGAATAAGTTGCTCGTTACAATAATTACGAAATATGCACCGCCTATTTTTATAATCAATTTATTATCTGTAATAATTAATTGTACGTTTTTAATGTTTCCATTTAAGGTGCAATGATCGGTAAAACAAAAGAAAACAATATTTCCACAGTTGGCGAAACTACATTTTTACCCATTGCATTTGACTCGTAAGGGTTCTATTAATTTGCTTTATTCATTTTCAGCTTGTGTAATTGTTAGTTTAAGACATTTTTGAAACGTTCATTATAAATTCAACTTTTAAAAGCCGAAGAACAAGAAACGACAATATAGAAATTATTGAAACAACACAGCCACACTCAGCACGCATTGAAGACATCTGAGGATTTTCAAGTCATCAATATTTATCCTTTCAAATCTTTAACGTTTTTGATTTGTACTTTTTATAAGAGATAACTGGCGTTTAAACTAAAACTCTATTCTTCTCTTCACTCTATTTCTCTTTAATGCCTTCAATATCTGTATTTAAAAAATTATATCAAAACGGAATTGTTGGGCACGCGACCACCGACTTATAAAAAAATCTCGTATGTATGTGAATGGAAAGTATCATTGTTGGCACATATGAATATTGTGCTGATAATTTTATACACTCTTAGAAAATTGGTAATATACGATAAAAAAAAAAGTTCAATAAACTAGTGCATTATTTATTTATATGTAACATATTAAAAGCTATTCTGGGACTGTAAAAAAATCTATATGCGAAATTGCGTTTGCTTCATCGTGGAAAGTGCCAACGAGTCACAAGTCGCTTGCCTTGAAGATCGGTGCTTTCTCAATGAATGGTATCGATGATACGTAAAAAAAATAAGGTAGCTACCAAATATAGCAGCAACGAGACCATTGCCTTCCTTTAATCATCCCATATAAAGAAAAGCGGGGAAGGTATTAAAAGTTCTTTGGCAGCATTTTGAGAAGCCTTTCTTCCTCTTTGTCAAGTTCTCGTAAAGTCGTAAATAATACATAAACGAAGTTATAAGGTACCAAGAACCATTCTGTGATATCTATGTTAACACTTAAATAATTGAAAAGACTAAAATTTCTAAGTATAAGTATATAATATCGTGAGTGGCTGTTAAGGCCATAAAACATTAAGGACAGAAGAAAAAGTTCGACTGATCATTTCCATCACCTGCAACGAGACAAAGACAAAGAAACATAAATATTATATAAAAGAGAGGGATAGTAGTAATCATTAAAAATATAAAGAATTTGAGATATGTCCAACAATCCTCGGTGGAAAACTTTCCAGCCGCCAATCATGAACTCTGACCCAGCAATATTAGAATGCAAGTCCATGGCCATTCCAAGTCCAAAAGTTATCAGTGGCACTCAACCAACAAACAGTTATCGCAATGGTACCAATTACAGTGGTGATTTCACGGACTCGCCTCCAAGTTGTGGAAAGAACTCTACAACGTTCAATAATTATTCAGGCGCACAAACTTCTCCTGGTAATGGAACAGTGAGATTTCCAATCGGTACATTTACTGGTTTAGAGGGAGCAGTGAATTATTCAGGGGAGCCAGTGACAACAAATAATTCTTATCAATCTGATCAGTCGACGAACCAAGGCACACGTGAAACCGGCATCATTGAAAAACTTTTGGTATTCCCATTTATTGTATTTAATCGATTCATTTAGATTTTAACAGTCTAAAAGATAGAAAAGTAATTAAATTTATAAAGTATTTGTTTTGCAAGACATTAGATAAAATTCTTTTTTTTCATCTTTTTTTTCTTTTCATTTTAATAAAAATACTTTTTTTAATTCTTAACGTTAGCTCTTATAGCACAGTTTTTAGTGACTATGAAATTTAATTGGTAATAAAACAAATTTTTTACGATAAATAAAGAGTTACAATTTTTATGATTGGCTGACGTGCATAAAATATTATTTTTAAAAATACATTTGCAAATTTTACAATTCACTTTAAAGTTTCATTTAATTTCTTTTTCTTCTTTTTTTTCAATTTATTTACCAACTAGTTGTAACATTAACAACGACCTCATAATATATGATTGAGTAATTTTTGTTTTGTTTTTGTTTTTTTTTTTTTTTTTTTTACATACAGCATTCTTACGGATTTATTCAATGTTGTGAAAGGCAAGCAAGGTTGTTTTTCCACTTTAGCCAATTTAGTGGTAATATCGAGCATCTTAAAATTGGAGATCCTGTAGAATTTGAAATGACATACGATCGTAGAACTGGAAAACCAATTGCAAGTACTGTTAGTAAAATTGCCCCCGAAGTGGTAAGAATTTTGATAATTCTTGATAAATTTTATTAGCATATGTTATGTAACTTTTATAATTACATTGTATAATTTACATACCTCTGGATAATTGTTAAATGATATTTTGTATAGGTTTTAAGCGAAGAACGAGTAACAGGTAACGTAACAACAGAATTACAAGCAACTGGTGATTCTCAAGGCCGAATCAGTTATGAAAATAGAGGCGAATGTTTTTTTCTACCATATACCAAAGATGATGTCGAAGGAAATGTAACTCTCCTTAACGGTGATAAAGTCTCATTTCAAATTGCTACAAATCAACGGTAAGTAATTCATAAGCAATAATTCGCTCTTCAATTATACCTAATAATTATTTCGTTTCTTTTTTTTTTTCCCAGTGGAAACTTAGGAGCATGCCACATCAGATTTGAAAATCCAGTTCATCCTGTTCGTTATCGTGGTGTAGTATGTTCAATGAAAGAAAGCTATGGTTTTATTGAGCGGGCAGATGTTGTTAAAGAAATATTCTTCCACTTCAGCGAAGCTAAATCCATGAACGAAGAATTAAAACTTGGTGATGATGTTGAATTTATTATACAATCTAAAAATTATGACCATTAGACGTGCAATATTATTCGATACTTAATAGTAATTTTGTTTTGAGTTATCCCGAATTGTTTCAGGGAAAAGAAATAGCACGTAATATAACAAAGTTGCCACCAGGATCTATTATATTCGAGGAAATAAATGATGAAATTATCAAAGGGCAAATTTTGAAACCACTTGAAAGGAGTCTCTTAGCTAGGCAAAGTGATCCACTACCAGGCCGCATTCGTTATAGAGCACCTGATCACTCTGAAGTCGAGGTATCTTTTGGTGACAAAGATCAAAAGGGTGATTTTACATTAAGGTTCGTTGAATCGTTGCTTTCTTTTCTTTTTTTATTATTATTTGTTTTTTTTTTTTTTTTTTTTTTTTTTTTTGATGTAAAAATTTATAATTTTCCTACATTTATCATTATTGACGTAAATATGCTTTTAGACACGGAGACTGGGTTCAGTTTAGAATTGCAACAGATACTAGAGATCAATTAAAAAGGGCTACAGAAATTTCATTATTACCTGAATCTTTTACGGTATCCGGTGAACGACGCGAACAGGGTGTTATTGTTTCTTTAAGGGATGGTTATGGCTTTATTCGTTGTGCTGAACGCGAAGGCAGATTATTTTTTCACTTTAACGAGGTGTTAGATGTTGATAGAGAAATATGCGTTAGCGATGAAGTGGAATTCACAGTTATACAGGTAAATAAGTTATCATCATTCGTTAATTCATTATTATCGTGATTTCAAGAGTGAATTATAATTTTCATTGAATAAATTTCCAGGATCCTTCTTCGTCATTTTCTAATGCAAGACAAAGTGGTATTAGATTGAAACACTTACCGTCTGGTACTGTACAATTTGAAACTATAATAGAATCCAATGTGTTAGGTAATGTAATTAAAGAAATCAGTGATAACGAGCCTGGATTAATAGGCTACCTGAAGGACGAACAAGAAAAAAACATTATTTTCTTCAGTAAAGATTGTAATTTTAAAAATATTCCAAAACTAAATGATAAAGTGAGTATTGTTTGCTTTTCTTAAGTCATTGTAAAGAGCAAAAAATTTTACTCTTTTAATCCTTGTAATGTGCATTCTATCGATAGGTTCGATTCAATATTTGCCAAGTGAAATCTAATAAGAAGCACGTTGCTGAAAATATATCACTTTTAAATTCGGCCGGAGAAAAAATTCAAAACCAAAATAGTAATAAAAAATTTATGGGAGAAATGATTCCAGGCTTTATAGCTGCTCTCAAAGATGGTTTTGGCTTTATTGAAACAGTAACTCACGATAAAGAAATATTTTTCCCATTTAGGTTGGTGTTAACAAATTTTCATATGTATACATATATATATATATATATATATATATATATAAGACGCCAAAAAAATCGTATAAATTATTTTAATTATTATTGTATTCATTTGATTTTGAATGCCCAACTTCTGTTCACAAATGCTTGTCAATATCTAATAAAACTATATGTGTATGTGTGTGTGTGTGTATATATATATATATATATATATATAATTACAATCAGCATATTATAAATAATAATCCTTGGTTTGTCAACCTTCTTTTTGCCAGCAATTTCAACGGAGACGCGAGCTTTTTGGTATTGGGCTCGGAGGTCGAGTGCAGCATTATCTCGGGAAACAATAATCGAGGCTCGGGTGGATGTATTGCCGCGGAGTTCGTGCAAATACTACCTAAAGGGAGCATTCCGAGACCAACGGTGTGTAGCGAGGTCCTGGACGGTACCGTGACTCGTCCATTGCGTAGTGCCAATCCCGAGCAGGCGGAATACGCCGGATTGATAAAGGTCAATCCAACGAGCGAGGAAGAAGAAACACCGGAGTACGAGTTCGGCATAATGGGTCTGTCGAACAAGCGCGAGCTCCTGCAGATCGGCGATCCCGTACAATTCCAGCTGAACTCGGAAGGTCACGCCTGCAATATCGTAGTGGTGCGGAAAAAGCGCCGAGCAACCGTCGATGCCGTCAAAGGACTCTTTGGCTTTTTGGCTTACGAGGTGGACGAGGGCAAGAAACTCTTTTTCCATATGAGCGAGGTGTGCAACAATGTCAAACTGCAGCCGGGCGATCAAGTCGAGTTCGTTTTGGTTACAAATCAACGCTCCGGAAAGTCTTCGGCGTGTAACGTTGTGCGCTTAAGGTAAGGATAAAGTTAACTCGATTCAACGTGATTCCCGTCCCTTGCGTTCATTGCAAAATTTAATTCAATCCGTGACATTGGACACTTAATTGCCAAGATAATTAATTATTTATCATGGATTTTCCATAATTTGACGTTCAAGTCAGCGCAATATAATTGCAATAGCTCGATTTTTCACGGCAACAGCCGCGATTGCCGTTTTATTAAGCTCCTAGGTATATTGTTAGCTCGTACTTTTGTCAAATAGGAATAAGGAAATTTTTATATTGGCTTATCAGCAGAATAAAACGATAATATTTACCATTGCAGTGATGCAATACAGCAACAGCGGCCAGAACGATTAATAAGTCTGCGCACTGTTCCTTCGCAAGATTCTGGGCCGAAATTAACCGTAGTCAGACAACCAAAAGGTCCGGACGGAACCTATGGCTTTAGTCAAGAAAGGATTCAACGCAAACCAGGTGCCATCGAAGAATAATGTTAACCGTTGTACCTAATATGACAGAAACGCAAGGAGTAAAGACATAACCACGGATTGCATACCTACCTTACCTTTTTTTCGTCCATGCACGTGTCTACGCCGAGATTATTGTAATAAATAATAATTGTTATCATTATAATTTTATTCTTAAGATGAAAGAAACGCGAAACTAAGAACATTTGCCAAATCCAAGACACTTTATTATAACAAATATAAAAATGTGTAACGACAACGCGCATAGTCGGCGGCGACTAATTGGACAACGAGTCTATATTTTTTTTATTTTTTATTTTTATTCGAGGGGAAAGTGTTTTATTCTCTCATCGTACATACAAAACAGAACAAAAACAAAAAATAACAAAAAAAAAAAAACAAACAAAAAAAAACAAAACAATTCATGCAAATACACTGTAGTTATTAAATTAATTAAAATCGCGAGCAGATCGCCAAACATTGTTGATTATTTGTGAAATTGTCATACGTAAGTAAGTTTTGGAAGATTTCGAAAGCGATTTAGTCTTTTAAGTCAGAGAAAATAAAAAATTAATGAAAGAACAAAACACCGGACAACGTGCGACAGGAATAACGTGGAAATATCGCGAACAATGAGAATCATCAAAAAAATAAATAAATAAATAAATAAATAAATAAATAAATATTAATAATAATAATAATGGGAAGTTAGCACGAACTTAATAACGTCGTTCAAAAACAAAAACAAAAAAAAACATTAAAAATTTAAAATAGGCAGGCTCACTGCTGCCGTCTGTTTGTAATTTTGCGACAATGAAATTTATCCTGTCTGTCTTTATAAAAATATACGTACATGTTGATACTATTTTTTACGTTATCGTTTCTTCGAATCGTACTTTCTTTCTAGCTAAGAAAAGTGAGTTCTGAAGAAATACAAAAATAAAGACATTTCTGAAGGAAATCAAATAAAACTTCGAAAAAATGGAAAAAACGAAAAGGGTCAGAGAAATTAGAATCTCTGCACATGTATCGACGACTATTACGTTGATGTATGGTATCTAACGAAACGTGTAAAAAGACATTACGCCGGACATTTGTTCGTCCTAGAGAATATATTTAAAATGAGGTGGTAAATTAAAATCTTAGAGTGCACGTGCGTGTACGAGACTTTCATCGATCGAGAAACCTTATTGCCTGATTAAATCTACAAATCCCGATTTAAATTAAAGATAGAAAAAAATTTTAAAAGCAAAAAAAATTAAATAAATAAAGAAATAAATAGTAATTCAATTAAAGCGTTCGTACACGCACGTGCATGAATCTGTCGTTAAGTTCCTGATGCAATCTCGTGTTGTAAAATCAAATTAGAGTTACAGACCTTTCCATTTAAGCTCTTCTTTTCGACAAATACAAACAATCGTGCGAGATAAATCGAGGGAAATCTCTTCTGCTCGATATAAAACTAATAAAGAAGGTTATACTGAAAGATTCCTTTGAAAATAAATTATAATTACCATTGTCTGTCGACAATTAAAAAATTGATATAAGCAAAAAAAAAATGAAAAACATGAGAAAAAAAAATAATTTAACCGAATGGATGGTGACATTTCTTTTGTCTAAAATTAATATAGTGCGAAGAAGAAGTATATTAAAGAGAGGCGTGAATGAGGAAGAGAGAAAACAAACAAACATAGCATAAAAAAAAGCATACACAAAACGGAATTTGGTGCTTGTAACTTATCTTATATCCCATAGAATCAAGAGAGAGAGAGAGAGAGAGAGAGAGAGAGAGAAACACGTGTACACACATACGCACGCACGCACGCACGCACACGTACACACACACACACACACACCATACCATATCCACATTGTAAATCCTCCTTTGGCAAATAAACATTGGAAGCATCAGAATGAAGACGATATTAATAGTGTCCTTAGTACATTTGGTGAAAATTTAGTGAAATCAAATTCATTCATTTTCTTGTGTAATTTTCTGTTAAGGTAATTTGATTTTTATGCAAAATCATGTATTTTGTTATAAAAAAAAAAAAAAAAAAAAAAAAAAAAAAATGAAAAAGGAAAAAAAAAGAAGCATAAAAAAAAAAACAAAAAAAAAACATTAATTTTCAATTTTTCTTTATATATATTTTTATTAATATGTTTATTATGTACAAAATTTTTAAATCTAGAAAATTCATGACAATAGAATATTTTTCATTAGAAATGCTCGATTGGTAATATACAAACAAGGGTTTTTAAATAACGACGCACTCGTATGGAAAAGGTCCTCGGTAATGTGGATTCTCAGGCCCTGGACATGCTGAAAAATCATTATTTTAAATGAAATTTCTTATCCCCATAATAATACTTATCTTATCTGTATTGCTTGCAATTAATGCTTACGTCTTTCGCATCGAGTACCAAAAAATCCAGTTCCCTCGCATAAGCATTTATATCCAGGATCAGAAGTAATTTGAAGGCAACTGCCTCCGTGCATACACCTAGTTGTACTGTAGCAAGAATTTCGTTGTCCTCCTAATTATAATATTGAAAAAAATCATGCACATCTTTGATTAATCGTATTATTTTAAAAGTAATTTTTATAATAAAAAAAAAAAAAAACAATTTTTTTGATGATTTGTTTGCTTGCATAGGCGCACGACTGCCCGACATGACAATTTTATGAATTGTGACGTGAAGCAGTAAGATGAAACGAGCCAATAAACCATAATTTTATTCCCATACTTTACCTGTAATAGCAAGTTTGCATTCTTCCATATTAGGATATCGGAATTCGGCTTTACAACCGTAACCGCACGAGCACTGGCCGCTGGAAATTCTGCATCCGTTTCCCATTTTATCTAATTCGCATGCGTGTGTTTGCATTCCTTAAAAATTTCAAGAAAAAACTTGATAAGAGAACATAGAACAGAAATTTTTTTTTCCCTTCCGCGTAAGCGTAAGCTCAAAATTGAAAATTGCGAGAAAGAGAGAAACCATGGAATTCAGTATTTTATGTAAAAGCATTAATTAAATTAAAAATTATAATTATAATAATTATATATATATATATAGAACGAAAATTGGGTGATAATGTTCATCTTTTATCGCTTGGCTCATGATTCTACTTTTCTATTCTTTCTAACACGTATCTAGTGTCCCAATAGATAGGATAAAGAGAGAACGATAAGAAAGGGCGCATACGACAATCGCCCGGATGCAATCGTCGTCGTGCTTCCCGCATATGAGATAATTTCGGATAATTTATTGTCATACTTCTTCAACGTTTCAGATAAAAGTTTTGGATTAGCTATATCTTTATTTTTCTTACAATTAGAAATACAGAGCCATTGCAACGATTCTATCGAACTTGCACGTTTTATTGTTGTTAAAAGTGGCATTAAAAATGGTTGAACATATTTTTAAAAGATGATTGTAAACAACAAGAACAACGGCAACAAAAGAAAAAGAAGCAAAGCAATCCCATATTTACATTTTTATTTATACGTTAAATTACATTTTATCATTTGAAAGTGCGTATAAACGACAAACATTTTTACCCATTTTACGATTATTTTAATTAATTAAGCTAACAAACAAAATTGTTAGCTGCAGCTAATAATTACAAATGAATAAACTCAAACTGCAGGTGTGAAAGTCAACTCTGTTAAACACTGCTTGTCAAAATAAGTCTCTCATTCATTTGAAGTTAAACTTTAATAAAAATTATCAAAAAAAAAAAAAAAAAAAAAAAAAAAAAAAAAAAAAAAGGATGTCACAGTTGAGCTTCAATTTGTTTTAGTAAAGAAATGTTAACGAGGTGTACTTGCAAAATTGCATACGTCATATTTTTTTTTTCTTTTTTTTTTTTAATTTGTACTTAGGTTGAATAAACTAATTTAAATAAACAAATGAAAACGATACTTTAAAAAATAATATAAATATAAATAGTTTTTGTTTTTATATATTTTATGCCTTACTATGTTTTGAAGCGAAACAAACTCGCTTTGCTCTACATAAACATTTTAATACATTTGTTATAACATTATAAAATCTGATTCATCGATAAGATGCGTTTTTTATAATTTTGGTAAATAATGTGTAAAATATCAGAACGAAAAAACTTATAATGTACATCATCAAACGTTATTATTATTTAAAAAAAAAAAAAAAAAAAAAATGCATGTAAATATAATATTTATTTTTATTACAAAATGTGAAATTATTACGGTACCTATTCAAACATTTTTAAGAATAAATCTTCAAAATTCTAAACAAACACGATAATCTGTTTTCCTTATAGGTTTCCTTTCCCCTATAAACTTACCCACGTATGAAGTGACGTTCGAGCTTGAAATAAAAAAAAATTTTTAAAAAAATTCATAAAAGCAGCTTCAAATCTTCGTAAAATAATACTCGCAAATACCTAAGGCATTTAACCGTAAAAATTATAATTAATTAAATTAATTATTACGCGTGTCTTTATTATTAAGTATATGGAATAATGAAGTTAATTATACTTCAAAGGTCGAGTAGCAAGAAACTTTGTGATCATAGAAGTATGTTTTCTACACATTGGCTTATCTTAACTAAAATATATATCGGCTCTGTTTTATTCAAAGGCAGAATGAACGGTTTGGCAAAATATTATTAGTTGATAATTTATGCATTCAAAGATTGTGCTCCCAGCGACATTATCAGCTACAAAATATTTCACTAGTTTATCAAAGTAAAAAAGAAAGAGAGAAAAAAATTACGACATTAATGTATACAGAAATAATTGTCAAACGTAAGGAGCGATCCTCCTCCCAGACCCTGCATCACCCATTCCCCCACCCCTCGACCAATCAAGAATAATATTAAATATAAAGTAGAAGAAATGGTGGAAGTACCTAATAATGTGAGGAGGAAGAGAGCAGTCGTCAGCATAAGTCCCCGCATGGCTGTAGGATTGGAAATTCGCGCGACCGAGACACCAAGATGATAAGGGAGATCGTCGAACTTGGTGTGATCTGAAATAAGTAGGTATACACCGATAAGTCAACGCGGCCGTGCACTGGAGGTCATAGTTCGTAGCTTTACGATCGTAAGAAATGGCTGCAGCGTCGAGTCGAGACGACTCGCCAAACCCTTTTATCGTCCCGCTTTCTTTCCCACTTTTACACGCTCATGCAAATCGTAATGGTACGCGCGGATTTTATCAGCTCCGGTAGCACAGCCCTTCCTTCCTATCACTCCCTGACAAAGCCATTGCCCTACCACTGCTACTGTTATATTCCATTCCATTGATCAGTCTCGGCTATTAATTATTGGCACTCACTTTATCCAATTGCGAATGACAATTAGATTTTAGTTTCGACAAGCAACGGCGGCTATATTGCAATTTTTTTTCGTTTTTTTTTTTCGTTTTTTTTTTTCGTTTTTAACCACTAGGCACTATTTATAATTTTGCAAGATCGTTAGGATTATGTGGATATTTAGGACGATAGCCTTTTACTTCCGACACTCTTATATTCCTACTTCAACGAATTCAACGATTTTTAATGCCGACGGATTATTATTACCGAATGCCAACTTTAACGGCACTGTCAGCTCAATTAAATAAGCCTATTAATACCTAAGGCTTTTATTAATCAGAAAGTTCTTAAAATTTTCAATAATTCAAGTTTTTAAGTAAGCGTTAGGCAAATCTGACACATCTATATGATATATTATTACGTCTTGATATCTTTATTTTACTATTAAATTTGCCGTGTAGCATGTTTGTAGTGTGAAAGTTTGCGAGAAAAATTCAACGCTACTATTTTCTTAATCGGCCAACTTTGTGCATTTCAATTTAATTAATCGTCTCTTACATTAATTGTAAATAACACCAATAATAAGCTGATTAATTTAAAAAAAAAAAAAAAAAAAAAAAAAAAAAAAAAAATATATATATATATATTCTATATATTCACCAAATTGTTGTTAAAAAATACTTTTCACAATAAATACAAAATTGACATCTATATCAATAAATAGGCCATAAGTGGTTAATTTAATAATTAAAAGTCACATTGTGCACGAGAATTTTCTCAACACTGGTTTATCATCGATCCGTATAAAAATAAATAAATCTCCGGCACAATTCGTGCAGAAGCCAAGTAATGTTTATCGATAAAAAATTGAGTCGAATAGTCGCGAGATGAAGCTATTCGATCGCCCTTTGCTATGGCTCATTCAGTTAATTCAACAAACATTACTTGACCACCACCATACATCAACCGAGAGAGAGAGAGAGAGAGAGAGAGAGAGAGAGAGAGAGAGAGACAGAAGAATTAAAAGAAAAAAAATAAAAGCGCGATGCAAGTTAAAAAACTAATGTGCCGAGCAAGTAACGGGGAAATACGCGGCTCTTTGTTTTCTTTCCTCTTATATGAATGAACTAACCGACTGAGATAAAAAGCCTCACCGAGTGCAAGTGCAATGAACTACGGAGGCTCGAGGCGAAACAACAGCAGCGATAATGTAAAAAAAAAAATGGCGAGTAGCTAATTGAACAAAAACTTTGAAAAAAAGGAAGAATATACTTTAATAAGTATAATCTTAAAATAAGTAAGAAGCACAGCGCGCGCGCGCGCGGATGTTGACGTGGTGGAGCGCGCAGAGCAACTAAAGCCAAGTATCCTCTTCCTCGGTTTCTCTCACAACCATCGAACCAATGAAGGAGTCGTGCGTGGGATGTGACGACTGTCAATTCTCAGCTGTCGGCCACATACGCGCCTCACTGCCCCACGAGAGCAACGACGACAAACACGTTCCTGTTTCTTCTCCCTTTCGGCTCGGCTTCCCTCCCTCTCTATTTCTCCGCCCCACACCAGAACCGACGCATCTGTAACGCATGACTTTCTCGATCTTCGGTACTTCAATCTACCCCTTCCAGCGACTCTTTATTTTACTTTCTTCGTATCCCATCTTCCTTGCGCGTCCCTTCTTTCTTTATGTTTACATAAAGGCGCTGCCTTTTAAATCACTCCCCTGTTTTTCTCTCCCCTCGTCCCTTCCCCACCCGCGCCACGACTATATTTATATTTCTTTTCTCTTCCTTTGTTTTATCTTATGCGCGCTCGCTTCACTCCCACCAGTAGCGCACTTTCAAAACACATTTTTTGCCTCGTCAATAATTTGAAAATCCTCGGCAAAGAGTGTGCATCTTTTCTTCTAGGGAGGGAAGGTCTGTACATTACGCGTTTGCCCCCTTAATTTCCACGTCGAATCGTGTATGGAAAATAATCGTTCGTATTATGATTTAAACATACTTTTCTCGTACGTTTAAACGTGAAAGATCTTATCTTCGTAAACTTTGGCCTTTTTTTTTCTTCGGGACAGGCATGTATTATCGATAAAAAATGTCATGTAAAATAAAACTAAAAAAAGAAAAGAAAAAATATGTCAACACGAAATTACGGAAATTCTTATAAAATATTTACGGGGCGTAACGTTATTTATATACTTTACACAATGACACGAGTCAGGAATTGTATATATATATATATATATATATATACGTGTGTGTGTGCGCGCGCGCGCGCGCGTGTGTGTGCATATAAAATTACGTTTACTTTAGAACGAGTCGTCGATGATAATAATAATTTATTGAAAAAATAAATGTAACGTAATGATCTTTCGATACATGCTTAATTAGAATAATTGAATGGTAGATCGTTTCACAATTTCACAACGTTAGACTCTCGTCTCGCTGTGCCATAAGCACATTTCAATACAACCATGAAAACACTATAAAAATCTTTAAAAATATAAAATTTGATGAAAGTACGGTCGGGGCCGTAGTAACAAACATATTTTACAATATATTCCGCGGTGCAATGATTTAATTATAAAAATACTATTATTAATAACCGAAATATTGACTTTTCAATAAGGTAATAACTTCTTTCTTCCTGGTCACACGTTCGTCCCGTCTTGAGTCGCATTTTCATTGGAATGTTTCGTCGAGCGCACGCGGCTTTCCCCATGTCCCTTAAATTCTGAAAGAAAAGCAAAATTCTAATCATTTCTTATACGAGCATTATTTTAAGCAAATAAGTGCTTCTCTGTTCTCGTCTTAGCAACGACACATTGACACACGTGAAATTCTCATTACATGAATGTTTGATCGTGTTGCTCGTGAATCATGGTTGATCTCCTAGACTGTACAATTCCTGTTTGACGATCGTACAATTCGCGTACAAGGCCGTCCTTCTCTTGCTCTAAAAGTGCTATTCGATGACTCTTTTTACTAACCTCCTATTGTTTGAAAAGTTTTAACATTATGGGTCCTGCGCACTACGCACACACGCTGTATCGTATATAAAGAACCTGACGTACCTCGGTTAATCTGTGATTCTGCTGTTTTAATCTAGACAGCGTGTCCTGCTGCAGCTGCGCCGACGACTGAGTACTAAGGAAGGCTAGATTCATGTGCAAGGGCAGTCCGCCTCTTTCCCAGCTGCTAATCAGCGCAGCCAGATGCCTATTGACTTCTACCACTCTCGCTCTCTGCAGCTCGAGTCTCTCTTGCTGAGCTTCGGTCCACTGCTCCTGAGCACAAATCAACATTATCGTCCATAGCTGCAACTTGGGCACGAGCCAGCTTTCGTTAATGCAATCCTTACCACGTGCGAGCCCATTCTTCCTAAATGCTTGATTTTCTCTTGCGTAATAGAAATTTGCTTCAAGTACCAATCTCTGGCTTTCTCGACCGCTGCCAGCCCTTGCAGCAGCACATCCTTCTCTTGCTCTATTTGCTTCATTCGCTTCATCTACAAAAGTACAAAAGGCTGTCGGAAAAACAATTCACTATTCCAACAATAGTATCTATTATTAAGGCTTCCCAACGCCACCTCCCTCTCCATCTCCCTCCCTCCCTCTCTCTCCCTCACACACACACACACACACACACACACACACACACACACACAAGAATCCCATATCTCTAATTGTGTTATTAGATGGGTAAGCCACCCGGACAGAAATATGCTTTACCATATTATAATCGATGCCATTCTGCAGAGTATGTCGTCTTGGCTCTCTATGTCGATTAGGTGACTTTTTACTTTGCGTCTGTAAGGCTAATTGCTGGGCACTTTGAATATCGATGGATTTACCATCTCCTAATACTCTAGCTGGATGAAGCAAAGCATTGGGGTCGACACGATACTTTGGACCGACCAGCTGACGCTTATCGCTTATCGCCTTGTCCGCCCCCATCATAAGGCCCATTTGCCAATTCTGCAAGGCTGTGCGAATCTCCGACTTGTCGAAACTCCTGTCCGCGTTTAAAACTCGGCTGTCCAGGGCTGCACCCGTGCGAGGTGGTTTTGGCGGCCCGTACACTGCGGCATTACCAACAGAACGCGTTTAAAAGAAATTCCACTCGATGCGCCCGGCCGATTAAACAATTAAAAGGCCGAGGGCCCAATGCTACCTTTCATAAGCTTCGACTCCGCCGGGCAAATCCTAGCCTCAACGTCGAACGGCGCGTTACCCTCTTTTCTGCCAGGTAGCTGTGGCATACTAAGCGTTCTCTGCTGCGATATAACGTTATTCGGCCGTATGGCCGCGGTGTTGGGCGATGTCCAAACAGTTTTGCTCTGATTGTCGAGGACCGGGGCGGATGGTGGCCTGTTTGGCGGCTGACTACTACCTGACTCGAGTTTCTTCGACTCGCTCTCCGCCTGGGCGTGCAGCAGGCATATCTTCAAGCCCGCGCAAAACCTCTCGAACGACAGCAGACCGTTCGGCGGTGTGACCTTCTTCAAGCCATCGAGAACACCCTTGGGCAGCCCCGACGAGCCATCGTCTCGCCAACGCACCTCTATATCCGAGTAATTGACGTAACCTGCGAACGATAATCGGCAACGCGCGCGCCATAAGCATATGTTTATTCTCCGGAGGCCGTCGGCGTGCGCGCGCGCGCACGCGGTACCACCACCGACCTACCTACCTACCTGTCTTTTGGTCATCCATAATGTCGAAGAGGGTCCGCATCGCTGAGACAAAATGCTTCGGCAGCCCATCGATGCTGGACTTGGTCATCTGGGCCATCTCGACGACGACGACGACGACGACGGACCTCGTCATAAATCAACGATCGGCCTTGGAACCACTGCGATAATCAAGGACGAGTCGTTAACCTCGACCGATCCTCGCGACACTACCACTCGCCACCCGCCGCGATTCTGGACTTTCGTCGGGGCGGGAGTGAAATGGAGAGTGCCGAGCGAGTGAAGTGCGGCCCCGCCAGAACGATCGCGCGCCCGAAAAACAACTCGCCAATTCGGCCCTAGATCATGATCTATGGGCCGGACGATCTTACCAGCTGGTCGGTTCGTCGGTTCCTAAACGTTCGAGCATCGAGGCGTATCTGCTAGCAGCCGCCACCACTGCAACGATTTTTCACCACCTCCTACTCCTCCTCCTCCTCCTCCTTCTCCTTCGTCCTCTCTCCCTCCCCCTCCTCCACCTCGTCGTCGTTGTCGTCGTCGTCTTTGTCGTCGTCGTCGTCGTCGTCTTTGTCGTCGTCTTTGTCGTCGTCTTTGTCGTCGTCTTCGTCGTCTTCGTCGTCTTCGTCGTTACCTTCGTCTCGCTATAGGCAAACGCCTGCCTGCAAGAGCAACGCAAACACACTCAACCCACCGGCGAACGTTTGTAGAAATGGCAGTAGCCGTTGTTATTCTTCTTCTTCTTCTTCTTCTTCTTCTTCTTCTTCTTCTTCTTCTTCTTCTTCTTCTTCTTCTTCTTCTTCTTCTTCTTCTTCGTCGTCGTCGTCGTCGTCGTCTCTCTCACTCTCAACTTGGGGCGATCAACCGATCGGGCTACGTAACCAGAGGAGGAAGAGACTGATCGTACGATCTCGATCGTAACCGCTCCATCTTTTAAATCTCCTTCCCTCGCTTTTCGACATTGCGCGGCCCAAAGGGACATGATAATAATAGATAATAAGATAGCGGGCATAATCGCGGAATAAAAAGTGCTCGTAGCTAAGAGAGACGGATGCGCAATAATATTTAGAAGAATAATGAGCTTCGGCCGTCATCATCGACGTACGACTTGATTGGTCTTCAGACAGCGGTAGCCCAACGCCTCGGCACTCGGCCTCTTATGGTTTCGGTGAACCGTCTCTCGTTCTCGTTCCACGCCAATAACATAATCCCTGGCTTATTGCGTTTAATGGGAGGGGAGAGGTGTCGCGTATCGCTTGCCCCATGCGCATTCCATCACAACGGAATATCAAGCAACGAACCAACCAACGAGCAACCCTGTTTCGCGGCTGCTAAACCCGATAATCGGATATTGATGACGACGACGAGGACGACGAGGACGACGACGAGGATGAGCCGAATATTGATAATCGTGCCGAGGCGAGGCACTAGGCATCGAGACATTGGATCTCGTAGGCGCTCAACGTTGCGCAAAGACAACTCGGAATTTCTCGATTAAAGTATTGCGCGATCGGGCATTGGGAATGGAATGGAATGTGCGAGAGCGCGGTCACGGTGGCAGAAAATATTTACGTGTTACTCGGGTTAAAGTCGGCGCTCGCTACGGCTACGCAATCAAAACAACCATGTTTGGTAATAATAATGTAATAATAAAATAACGCGCGTTTTCAAGCGAATTTTAAGATTAAGTGGAATTGGATTTTCGGGATCGGGGCTGTAAAAACAACGAAACTTTGAGACATTAAAAGTACCTTTAACTATATTTATCCTTCAACATTCAACGAATACATTTTTAAACGAATATACCTTTCAAAGTATCACATTTCAACGATAATTAATACAACATTTTGCAAGTTTAAAAGACGTAGTTTGTGGGAGTGGCGTGGGGGAGGGGGAGAAGAGGGGAGAAGAGGGGAGAAGAGGGGA